TAAAAATCATAGGCAGGTATCTGATGTTCGTGTTTGTATTTTGTAAAGATTTTAGAGTCTCTCTATATTAAAGGGAATCATTGGAGTGTTTAAAGTTAGATGTGGACCTTTTAGGTGTTTACTCAGGGGCAGTAGAGTGGGTTGGCCATTCACGTCCACTACCTCTAGTTAACCTTAGGTTTTGCTCTTATAGTTGTCAGCAGTCCTATTTGCATCTTTAGTGAGACTTCTTGTTTGTTTTACGGATTTACCCTGTGCTCTGAAACGTCACTTCTGATGTCTCTCTGGAGGATTAAGTCTAGATCTTCTTCACCTCTGTTTTAGGATCTCAGTAGACACTAGAATGAGGCGACCTTGATTTTTATATGCGTGCTGAACTCTGATTTCATTACTCTTGGAATGTCATCATTCTGTGGCCTAGTGTGTACTCTGCATACAAAAGTATAACAAGAACTTACAAGTTTATTTCCAAATTTGATCACCCTTTCAGGAGATAAGCTATTAAGAGCAATTCAGTATTTCTGATAAATAACAGTAAAGTGGTGTCTACATTTTTGGATGTAATTCAGAAACTAGAAAGAAACTTCTATTTATATAATCCTATATCAAAAACTCTGTTAATATATAATGTGTGAATCACAAAGGCAATGCTGTGTTCTGTCCTAATTAGTGGGAAGCAGAAGCAGCATCATATTTGAAGTATATGAATATATATATATTTTTTTCAGATTTTTCTATCTCAGTATTACTTTTGGGATATTTAATTTTTCAGACATTACCAGAGGCCTTAGAAGAATTCATAGCTTAACATCTTAAGTTCTGTCAAGATAGATCATTGTTTTATGAACTTTTTTCTGTCTTATCACTTTAGAAAACAAAACAGTATAAAACTAAAACAAGAAAGAGGGCAGCAGCATGGAGAGCAAAGGTATATTGGTTAAAGAGTGGTAGCAGTTGACCAAGCCATAATAAATAAGTATTGAATGTGCTTAAGAGCAGAGCACGGAGAAAGATTTTCTTGAGGGTCAGACCCGGAAAAACACTGACTTGAGGTAAGAGAAATGAATGTCTTCTCAGTTAAAGTAAATAAAATTGAATTAGTTCAAGTTGTGGGTTTTATCAGATTGAGGAATCTAATAAGATCATTGGAATATTAAGGATAAATTGAACTCTGAGCCCCTACTTGTAAATTGAGGATTCTGTACCTTCTCTCCCACCATTTTTTCTTCCTTAGAAGGTTGATGTTATGTTCTGTTCCAATCTTTTTATTAAAGAACTTTGTTTTTTCTGCCTCTTCTGACAATGCCACATCCACAACAGTGTTGTTCACACCAACATGCCACCCCTTCAGTCTTCCTAGAGAGATTCTGTACTCCGTGTTGGAGCAAACAGAATGCCTTTCTCCAAACTTGGGGTTTCAGAGCAGTCCTAGGCATGTTTCGGGCCCCAGAGCATCCCTTATGAAAGTGGTCCCTTTTTAGGTTTTAGCTTTCCTCTCTCTTCCTTGGGCACAGAATCAAACCTGGAGGCTGGTGAAGAAAGATAACATGTCACCTCCTGCTTTTTCCTCCTCCTCAGCTCTTCTTCAGAACAATCTTGCACAAACAGAATAAAGCCACACAACAACACTGATCACCCTTTTATATTCCATCAAAGTTCTTTATGAAAATAGAGGTGTGTGCCCAAGAGCCAGTGTCCAGTGGGTGGGTACTACCTAACTCAACCTTTTTTTTAAAGATTGATTGATTGATTGATTGATTGATTGATTGATTTGAGAGAGAGAGAGATGGGGGTGAGGGGAGGGGGAAGAGGAAGAGAGAGAATCCCAAGCAGACTCCCCACTGAGCATGGAACCTGAAGGGGGGCTTGATCTCACAACCCTGAGATCATGACCTGAGCTGAAATCAAGAGCGGGATGCTCAACCAACTGAGCCTCCCAGGCACCCCTACCTAACTCAACTCTGCAGTGGGCAGTTATTAATTAAGGTTGAATATTAGGCATTTGATCACAGTCACAATTTCTGAGGGACTTACATAATACTGTTGATTAAAGTGGTTTCTTTTACATTCTGGTCCAAGAGCTAGAACTTTATTTTTTCAGAGCCTTATTCTGTAAAAAGTACAGTCTTGAGGATAATGTGTTGATCTTTTTTAAAATATTTGAATCATGAGAAGATTCAAAGTAAAAAGGAACAGAGACTAATATAACTGAGACCCTGCTTCTACCCTGAGGTGTAAAAAATATTAACATTTTGCAATATCTGATTCACATTATTATTTTCTTAAGAATTAAGATATACTTGAAGCCTCCTTAAGACCTCTACCTCATCCCATGTCCCTCCATCCCCCTCAAAGGCAACCACTGTACTTAAGGTGGTATACATACTTTCAGAACATGTGTAGTAAAATGTATATATGTTGAAATTATGCATAGTATGCTTTTATGAATTTTTAAATTTCTCACAAATGATATCTCTTTTCAGTTTGCTTTTCCTGGTCAACACTTTGACCTTAGAACTTACTCACTTGACTACATTGGCTGTCTCCTGAGTTACATCCCGAAGTCCATTTTGTTCCATCCTGATGTACTGCCCATGAACCTGGAGTGAACAGCTCCCTGTGTCTCCCCAGTGTCCCACTTAGTGGACTCAACAGTCCTGGGATAGTGCCAGTCGGAAGGGATGCCTTAAAGCTGTTACTTTTATTCCTAGATTTAATATAACTCTTCTTATTAACTCTTGGAATATTCAACCTATTAAGAAACAACTATAACCACAGAGACAAAAAGATGTTCCTATGACTCCAATGTACTCAGCCCTCCTAATCATTGCCTCTTTAGAATTCAATATTTGGCTATACCGTAGAAAATGTCTCAACTCGCTGGTTGGGACTGGAAGGCTTCACTTTCTTAGATTTTGTCAAAGTGTTTGCCAGAATGATGTGTGTCCATTTGACTCTCATCTACAGTAGAAGGGTTCCCTTCTTTCCCCATGCTCAGTAAGATCTGTGTTATTAAGCTTTAGTTTGCCCATTCGAAGAGTATGAAATGATCTCTCATTGTTTACACTGTAAGTTTTCCAATTATTAGTGAAGTGTCATGTATTTGTCAATAATATGGGATTTAGTATTTTGTGAATTACCTGTTCTAATCTTTGGTCTATTTTTTTATATTTTGCCAATTCATTTGTAGGAGTCGTTATTTTATGTACCTGTAAAACTAATTTTCAATGAAACAATACGGAAAAAACTTCAGGCAGCTAACTGCTACTAATGGTACCACACAAATCTGTAAAATTGTTGATGGTCATGATGGCAGCTTAGGCATCAAATAGAATGAAATTAATATTCAGAATTTTCAGTTTAGGAAGGGAAGGGAATTTGTAATTTCATTTAAGAAAGATACTCATGGGAAAATGCCAAATACATATAACAATATTTTCATGCCTAGGGAGGTCAATTTCAATGGTCTAGATTATTTACTCATGTAATGTAAAACAGTTTATTCCCAACACAAATGGATAGCTGGAATGGCCTTAGTTTAATGTGGTAGTTTTTAGAAGTATATTTTTGTTTGATTTTTGCAGCAGTACAACTCAATGTCCACCAAATTCCTTTTATGTAAAAGTATTTCAAAGGCACAAATGAAAAATTCAAATGGTATAGAGAACCAGTCCTAGTAATTCACTCACAGAAGGAAATTCACCCCATGCATGCTTTGGTTTTGATCATTTCTATTGAAAGAACATTTTCCTGTAACCCTCCTCTTTTTTTTTTAATATACTTTTAAACGCTGGACTTTTCCTAGTAGAAATACATTTTTCTAGGAAGGTTTTATCTTGAATACTTTGACCCTAGAAAGTAAAGTAATTTAGCAGAGTTTCTCTCACTAGGGATTAAAATGGATGTTAAAGTATCCACAGAGGATGAAAATGAGTAAAAAGATGAATCAGGCATGAAAGTTCACAAGTGGAAAATAGATGAATGATGTTTCTATTTTATTGTCCTTGTAAATAAAATGAATTGTGCTTTTGGCTTTCATTTGCCACATGAATTGATTGTTACAAGATAAAACCTGAGAGAATTGAATTATAATTTTCGAGAATCAGTGAATCAGCAGCGTCTTTTAAGTAGCCAGACATTCCACTGAATTTACTTTCCGCAAACCTCCACTATGTATATAGGTGTCTTAATGTTTAAAGAAAGAGGTGCTAACATTTTAGGAATTTATATATGTATCTTCTTTCACATCAAAACGGTCCTGGTAAAATGAAACAAAACTGAATTCAACTTTGAGCCTTCTGGTCTCTAACCCTAGGCTTAGTGCTGGAGTGCCCTGGGATTCCCTCTCCTCTCTTGTAAGGTCCTTCTGCGAGCCTCCCTCTACTGCCATCCCCCTACCTCCAGTCTCAAGTTCTATCTCAACAAAAGTGGAATACGTTGGATCACTTCATTCACATGTTACTATGAAGTCCTACAGGTTAAGATCTATTACTTATCACCTATGACTTTAGCATATGATATTAGTTAAATATTTACCAAGACTTTTTGAGAGCCAAATACCGTCCAATAAATGTGTATGCATTATTTCATTGAAACTTAAGATTTTATAGATTTCTTTTATAGACAAAGAAGCAGGTTTAGAAGGAGTTAAGAAAACTTGGCTAAGGTTTCATAGCTAATAACCAGCATAAATGAAATTCAACTCAGTTTATAATAACGCAGAATATGTACGCATATACACTATACCACACAATCCTGAGCAGGTTTCAAAACTTGCCGTTGCATAACATCACCACTCGTGGAGTAATGGTTTACTTCCTCTGCTGAAAGTAAGTGGTACAAAGACCACTGAATCGGGTCCACCCCAAACTGGGCAGGTAGGCACAGAGCTCCACTGAGCTGTTAGAATATATGGAGCATGCCACCTTGCCCAAGGGCTGGAACAGGGAGCATGAGAGAAAGTTCGCCTAATACATTGTTTTTCACTTTGTTTAATGCAGTGATGCCACGCTTTGCCGAGCAAGTAGAGGTTGCTATTGAAGCCCTGAGTGCCAACGTCCCTCAACCATTTGAAGAGAATGAGTTCATTGATGCCTCTCGCCTAGTGTATGATGGTGTTCGAGACATCAGAAAAGCTGTGCTGATGATCAGGGTATGTAAGGCCTCTCTAGTTTGGAGCTGATCAGAGCTTCTGGTGTGGACTCCAGAGAATTTACTTTTGTTGTTTTAATTACTTAGTTTAACTTGTTAAGCTGTTTGGCTCCTCATTTAGTCAGACAAGGGGAACCGTTTAGTCAGACAAAAGGGACAAGTGAACCCAACAAGCCTAGATTCACACTGAATAACCCGAAGAGTGATACTCTGCCTATTTCTTGCATGCACTGTTGTCGAATTTTGATACTAACTTTCAGGGGCCCCAGCTATTATCCATGTGCTTCTCTGGCTAACATGTTCCCATCAGGATCAGAAAGCCATGGGATGGAAAAAAAGGAAGAGAACCCAGAGTAGCAGTAGTAGTAGTAGCAGCAGCAGCAGCAGCAAAAGTAGTAAAAATAATAATAATAATCTGATACAGTCACATTATCTTTAGAACAAACAATTACAATCTTGTAAATAAGGCTGTATAACTTTGTAGCAAACCTCTTCCCATCACTCACCCTACTATCTTCCCATGCTCAGTCTTCTGTTGTCAGCTGTGAGTCTTCCAAACGATTGTCCAAGTGATTATATAGAGACATACACTAGAAAACATATAGTAGGTTTTAAAACTCAACATAAGTATCATTTACAACTTGCTTTGTTCACCCACAATATACCTTCATTTATTTACACTAAGACACATATCTTCCCTAGTTCCATTTAACTGCTACATAATATTTCATTGTAAGACGAGATTTTGTTTTCTCCTTACCTTACCAACAATTTGGCATGGTTTTCAAATAATTTTCTTACCCATAGAACTCTTTCTTAAAATAAACTTAAATATTCAGAAGTATAATTGATGACACAAATACATTTGTGGCTATTACAGCTGAAGCAGAGATGGGCCTTCTGCAGTGACAATCATAAGAACATGAGAATATGTTGTCTGATAGCAATATACTGTGAGCCACAATTGTAATTTCAAATTTTCTAGTAGACATATTGGAAAAAAAAGAGTTGAAATTAATTTTAATAATATATCTCACTTAAATGTATCCAAAATGTTACCATTTTTGACATGTGGCATTAGCTACATTTGAAGTTCTCAATAATTCATTGTAGCTCATGTCTACCATATTGGATGAGATAGCACTGGAGTGCATCCCCACCTTCATCCTCTACAGTTGTCTCTGAGGCTGCTCAATAAAACCACAAGGTATCTGCTGATTGCGTTCTGAAAAACTTTCTCTCAGGGTGATCATTGAACATCTAAACTAATATACTCTCAAACACTGCAAGACAATAATAACCAAATAATATCTGTGGTATTTTGTTCTCTTTGGACAATATATAACTAGTACTTTGAGTATTTCATGTATGGAATTAATTCTCCTCTGAATCTTGTTATCTTTGAGGTCATTAAATTCATGAGTGATCCTCTTCAGCTGTGGTATCCAGAGTGCAACATGGTGCTTCCATGGTGATCTGAGCAGGTGGAGTAGAGTAACACCAGGAAGAGTCTCTCTTCTCTCTTTGTTGGCATCCATGCTTCCCCTGAAACATTACCAAACGCCTTCACTTGGGAGCACAAAAAGCATCTTCAAATTTTCTTGTCTTTAAATTCGGCTTGATTGTTTTCTCGATACATATGTCTGTCTTTCATAATAATTTCATGATCAATTCAAAGTGTTCACATCATTGTATAAGTTATATCAGATGATTGTCCTTATACTTAATGTGGCGTTCATAGTTGGAATTTGGAGGCTATCAGATGTATTTCCTGTTCTAGCTTGCCCATTTTAGATCTGTCAAACTCTTACCACCTTGCAAGACTTGGCTGAAACCTTCAAATTTTCTCCATCAAAAATATTGACCATCTCCTTTAACTATGTATAACTGTTTCTGCTTATGATAGTATTTATTACATTATTCCCTTTTATGTCTATTACCTTCTTAAACTGTGAAATTTTGGAAAGCAAAGGCTGTGTTTTTATTTTCCCTTCACTGTGGTGCATGGTCTGGCACAGTGGTTAATGGTGTGTGTGTGTGTGGGTGTGGGTGTGGGTGTGGGTGTGGGTGGTGGTGGTGGTGGTGGAAACAGATCACCGGGGAGATAGGGAAGGTGACAGAAAAGGGATGAGAATTGGAGAAGAAGGAAAAGATAGGTAGTCAGGCTTTTAAACCTGTAACAAATTAGATCATTTTTTCCCATTACATACTAACTTGTGAAATAGGTAATAGACCATGAGAGTTATGTTTTCAAAGCATTTGACACTAGATCCCACTATAATCCTCAAGACATATTCCGTCTTTTGCCATTTTTCTGCTTTGTTAGCCTTCACATTTTTGTGACAACCATTCATCTGGGAGGCTGAGGAGGTTTATAGCCATCATTCATTTATTCATTCATGAGCTGTAAAAAAACATAATTTTAGATAAAATGCCATATCTTTGTTGCATGAAGTGTCATTCCTACATCTCGACATTTCAAGTCATTTGATCAGATGGATTTCACACCATGTAAAACTTAAGAGAGAAATGTATAGTATGTACAAATTGTTATTTTTAAAATCCTTCTTCAGCCCCCACATGGCTCCATTTTGTACTTAATTTCTTGCTTTGCTTTTTGAATATAATGATTAAATCTACTTAAAAAAAAAAATCCATTGCGCTAGTTCTAAAGAAAGACAGTGAGACAAGTAGAACTGTTTCTTTCCCAGCAAACCTGGCCATGCCTCCTTCCCTCCAAAGTGTCGATTATACTTCGTAAAAATAAGAAATCTTTTTCTCTGAAAAAATAAATGCAGAACAGACCCTGAAGGGTTAAGTTTTCCATCACCTTGCTTGCAGTGATCAACACATATTTAATGTGATGTTGGTATCCAGGCACTCCAGGGCAGCTCCAGGCAACCCTCTGAAGTAGACAAAACTATCTTTTCTGTATCCTAACCTCACCTTTCAGAACCCCACTTCTCCCTTGAACAGGTCTACTCTTCCCCCCTGCCGTGAGACTATTTCTTTTGTTCGTTCTTGCTGAGACTTTTCCTTGGTGGCCTATCAGCTACGAAGGAATTTACAAATTATCCGAGCGTGGTAATTTAAAAAGCGAACAGACCAATCTGGCACACCACCATACCGTTGATTCTCATTATTTGCAGTAGTTATATCCTATAACGTTGCTGTGAACATTGAGTTAGAGAATACTGAAACACTGTTCCTAGGGGAACATCCTAGGTTCCTATGAGCCTCTGGTTACATTCATTCATTGATCAATATTTAACTGTGTTTTATGCATGTTTTTGTTTAAAGTCACATTATTTTGTATATATTGTTGACTCATTAACACTGAACTCACACCAGCCTCACCATAACACATTCCTGAAGGAAACTCATCTAACACGGGCCTTTTCTCTGTAAAGGCACATCACAACTTTCTTACACTTAGGACCACTAAACAACACTTCAGCACTGCACTTGGAAGCCATTGTAAACAGAGAAATCAGCAACAAAAGGCACAAAAATGCAAAATATGTGGCACTAAATGAATGCAAAAAGGTTATTTACAGTATAAGAGCTGAAACAAAAAGGCGGAACTTTGTGCCGTTTGACCTCAGCTGGAAAAACGCACAGGTTAGGTGACTCACATTTTTTGCCACATTGTACATATCTGTGAAAAACTACACAAGCATTGCTTTGGGGATTACAAAGAAGCTTTTGGTGCATAGGCAAACTCACAAATGAGGTGTCTGCAAGTAATGAGGGCGAAGTGTACATTTAAGACACAGAGTTAGACATTTAATATTGGAAATTAAGATAACTGGGTAGGGTAGAAGGAGGTAATATCTTGGTGTTAGGATATCTATATTCAAAAAAACAAAAAACAAAACAAAACACAGTAGTTTCTTCTCGTAAGAATAACCCTGGAAAAAATCTATTATATCTATATTCTTTTATAATATAATTGGAACCCATTAATTTGGTTGCACATGATACTTTTGAAAGCAGGTCGTGGAAAACAGTTAAGGCCTGATAAAAGTCTAAAGTTTAACTTCATAAATCCCAAACTGTGCCTGAAAGGGCCCTTGGAGCATTGCAAGATGTTTTTTAAAATTTCAAGGGAGACATACAGATGTCTCTCAGATATTATGTGAAATAATAGCCGACAGCAGCTCAAAGTTTAAACAGTAGGTTGGTATATTCCTTTTAATAACATTCTATATTTGTGAAGCTGGGTTTTTGGTGGTTGCCATGATAAAAAGAAAGCTTTGGTTATATTCCGAGATTTGAGAAGTCATGCAGTGCACAACAGGCACCAGGAACTAGGTTGTTAAGTTTAATCAACTTATCCATTTTTGTGACCTAACTGCTTAATCAACACAACTGTTTGGTTTGTGGCTGTTTTGTTTGCTTTTTGTTTTGTTTTGTTTTTAGCCAAGGGGCACCTTGAAAAAATTACTGAGACTCAGTGAGAGTATTTGAAACAAGAGAGTTTGGGAACCTATGGCTTAAGTATTTTTTGGTCTTTGGCATGCTTGTTTTCATCTCTTTGCTTCAGTTTCCATATCTGCAAATGAGGACAGATACTGCCTTTGCTGTAAAGCACTAGCCTAGACCTGGCATTTAGTAGGTTCCAAAGAAATATTTTTCTTTTCTCATCCTGCTGGGATGAAGTTTCTTATTCCAATCAATTAATGAAATACAATTTGTTAAATAAATTAACAATATTATTAAAACTGCAGGTACTGGAGTTACTCATCAGAGCTAGAAAATGAGGAGTTGAAAAGACTTTTATGACAAAACTGATTTTCCTATTACAGACTGCTATTATCCAGTTAATTAACATGGTCCTGTAAGGTTCCCTGTTTTGTTTTCCTAACTCAAGTAATTAGAAATAATTTCATATGAATTTTCAGAAATATTCAGTAATTTAGTTTTGGTCATTCATTTATTGGGCATTTGTTGAATGCTTACTAGATGCCCCACACGGTTGGAGGGGCCCTGAATGGAGAGGTAAACAAAATAGAAGTCCCTGTCTTCAAGAAATTTATATTCTTGAATATATATTTATATATATATTCAAGAAAATTATATTCCCCTGGTGGGAGACAGTTTTATGAAGGGTGGTCAATGATTAGATGGCATTTGAGAAGAGAGTTGGAGAAGGAAACAAGCCATAAAAATATTAGGGAAAATGCTCCAGGCCCGGGGGAATGGCAGGTGCAGTCTAAGGATCACTCTGAATGAGATGGGAGCCCTTGATGTGTGCTGAGCTGACTTTGCTCATACAAGGATCATCACCCTGGCTCTGCTGGAGAGAGTAGAATGGATGGAGAAAAAATAGAAGGAAGGAGATCAATCAGGAGGCTTCCAGAAAAATCCAGGATAGAGATGCCAGTAGCCAATCAGTCCTGACTGAGGGGATTTTCTTCTACATTGGGAAAGTGTAATCCCAGCGGTATAGCTTTCTGTCTGGGAAATCCTTCTTCTTGCGTCACCCAAACCCTCCTGTTGCCTCTCCATGTCTTCATCTTTCTACTCCCAGTTAAGCTCTCCTACACATTGGAGCCTCTCTTTTAAATTGTCAGTAATATATTTTTCATGTGTCCTGGTGAAACAACTCTAAATCCTACAGTCTTTTCTCATTTTGCTCCCCTCCAGAAACTGTTGTAGAGAAGATTGAGCATTTGATTGGCAGCCAGGCTCATAGACTGATGCTGTTCTGTAACTGACAGGGGGTGTGACCCTGGACAAGCACATGATTTTCTTGGGCCTTTGTAATAGGCACACACTAATCTCATAGAGGAGATTTTAGAGGCCAAATACTTTAATTGTGCCATTTTACAAATAAAACCCACTTTTGCAGCCTAACAGATAATAGACCCAGGGAACCAAGAGTAGACCCAACGTAGTTTTTGATGGTTGTAAAAAGGCCTTCCCTGGGAACACAGAAAGGCAGAATTGAGGCTTGACCCCCCAGTTTCCGGCTTCCAATCCAGTGAATTATACGTTTTGGTGATTCTTTTTACTCTATAAACACTACCTAATGATACAGGTCTTATTATCTTTGGGCCCATTTGCAGACCTTCACTATTTTCCCATGTCTCCTTTAATGTACAGAGGTCCTTGACCAACCAGAACCTGCTACTTGTTAAAATGAATAATTCAAAAAATAACAGCATGAGAAGTAGGCACATTTACATGCAATTAGCAAACTGCACATGCACAGAACTGTTTATGTGGCTTGGATGGGTTTGCTGCATGATTAAGGCACAAGAAAGTATTTTAAGCTCATCCATTTGCCTGGTGTTACTTGTGATGGTCAAAAGTGTAGGCTCTGGAACGCCCTCAACTTGCTAGGTGTAACACCCTGGAAAACTGACTTAACAACTCTGAGCCTATTTATACAACTGTAAAATGGGCATTAAATTTTTTGGGAGGGGAGGGGCAGAGGGAGAGAGAGAGAGAAGGTTAAGCAGGCTCCATGCCCAGCCTGGAGCTTAATGCGGGGCTCGATCCCACAACCCTGAGATCATAACCTGAGCCAAAATCAAGAGTTGGACGCTTGACTAGGCCACCCAGGCACCCTAGGCATTATATTTATTTCATTGGGTTGTTACAAGGATTAAATCCTTTAGCTGAATGCCTGGCCCATAGTGGTTGGTAAAAATTATTTCTATATTATGATTATTACAGTCGTTATTATGTATATGTTATCACTTACTTGAGTTCAGTTTTACCATTTACAAAGCATTTTCGTATATATTTTATCCTAGAATCCTGTCTGGCAGACAGGGCAAATAGGAATTATTATCTCCATTTTATTAGTGAGGAGAGAGAGAAGCAGAAAAACTGTAAGTGACAAACAGTTTATAGGTGGCAGAGTTGGGCCAAAAACACTTAGATTCCCTGGGTCCACATCCAGGTTATTGATTTATTTATTTTTTCATTTTTAAACTTTGTTTTGGTTTCTGAGCCCTAGTCACTTGAATGAAAGCTCATCATCATTAACCTTATGCTGCCGGGTTGTGTCTGTCACTGACTCATCTGCTAAACACACAGATCATTGAAATGTTTGGACACAGTACTATAGTCATATTTTCCTTTTTCTATTGAGTGAGGTTTTTCATTTTACTTTTCTCCTTTTCAAAAACTAATGATGAAAAGCGCTTGCAATCTTGTCATCTCATCTGTCAGCAGAATTTACCAACTTGCTTTAATTGTTCTGCAGCACATTCCAGAAGAGTGAAAAATGATCAGAGATTGTTGTCTCTGTCCACAATGGAAATACAACCAGTTATTGGAACCAGGTTCTGCCCACCCCACCCCTGATTTAGTTAATAAAGTATGGGAACAAAACTTCTTTCTTCCCTCTTTCTTTTAATAATTCTGTGAAAGAAAATTGAACATCTGTAGATGACTGAGTGAATATTAATAAGGTTGATGGAGAGAGAGAAGGAAAACAAGAAGGAGATGCCAAGGCTTGGAAATTACTATGCGTAATGTGATATTGGCACGAAGACCCCGTTTTATGCCTGTCTGACCAATCTCAAGCCTTCATCATAACCACACCTGATTAATTACACTGAGGTAGCCAAAGAAACCAGCAGAATAAAAGTGTGCCCTTCTGGGAATGGGCAACTGTATCATCAGTACTGCAGTGGTCTGCTTCTTGCTTTTTGAAATACAGAGCCCTGGATGGTGGTGCTCCCTATGCCAAGGGGCAGTCTGTGAGTGAACTGTCAGCTTTCAGTCTAGTGACCATTGATCTGAGTTCTCACTAATGCACTGTCTCCCCTCATGCACCATCCTCACCAACTCCACATTCATCTTCTTAGAATTAACAGAGGATGATAGTCTACAGTACGTGCTGCATGATTTAGAGGGCTTTAAGCAAGGTGTAACCGATCATGCCTCAGTTTCCTTATCTGTAAAGTGGAGGAAATGGTGTCTACATCATAGGTCTGTGAAGGAAAGTCCTTAGAGAAAACCATGATTGGCACATGAAAAGCACTTAATGTATGTTATCTATTATGGTCATTAAAGATATGGAGTATTTTTATTTCTGGGTTTATGGATTAATTCATGCCTTTTCTCTGACACACAATGGATAGGATCTTCATGTAACTACTCACTTTAAAGCCGTTCCATAGCTCCAGTTCTTACCTGATTTATAATGTGAAAAAGATAGACACATTTGGGTATTTGGGTCTATATTCTAATTCTGTTATTAACTAGTTTAGAGACACTGGGCATGCTGTTTCTCAGAATCTTGGTTTTCTATCTCTAAGAATAGAATGATCCTTATTTCACTGTGCTGGTTTTAGCTAAATTGATACTATGAATGAAAGAGCTGTTTAATCCTTGATGGTTGTATAGTGATTGGTAGCTTCACTTTTTAAAAGTGTTTGAATGAATTGATTTCAGAATCTTAAGTAATGATGATGGCAAACATTTTTTAAATGCCTATTATATGCCAGACACTTTACACAGAGTACATTCCTTAATCTTCACAAAAATCATAGAGGAACTTTTATCAACACCGGTTCACAGGGGAGGAAACCAGAGCCAAGAGGATTTTGCCAGTGGTCACACAGGGATTCATATTCAGGCAGTCTTGACTCTGGAATCTATAGTTGCAACCTGTACACTACACGGTTTAGTGACCACATCAGGTATTTCATCTGGACTAACCATTGGCTTGGAGATGATCAATTCTTTTTGCTTATTAAGACTAGAAAAGACTGGGAATAGAGCAAAAAGGGCATTATAGACCAAGTATAGGTACAACTTTTGTTGTTGATGGTGATTTTCTATCTTAGAGTAGATTTCTATGGGTGGAAAAACACACGAATATATTTTTCTTAAAATTAGAAAGCATGTCAAGAGCTAAACAGACTTTTTATACCTACAGGAGGAAGTAATAGAGTGTATTTTTTTAAGAGATAAATCAGGGCAACTTGGTTTTTCTGACTCCATTTAGAGCCAATACCCTCCTCCATAGCCCCCTACACGTAACTGCCCACAAGATCTCTTTTCTGGGAGCTACTTAGCTTTTGCAGCCACACAATATATGGGTGCAGTTGAAGTTTATCAATTTAAAATATGCTGATTCTTCTCTTTTCCTTTGTACCTTTAGACCCCAGAAGAACTAGAGGATGATTCTGACTTTGAGCAGGAAGATTACGATGTGCGCAGCCGGACAAGTGTTCAGACTGAGGACGACCAGCTCATTGCGGGACAGAGTGCACGGGTGAGTGGACATTCAGGACTTGGGTTTCATGCACTGGGGTTGTGAACACCAAATTGGTTTGAGGGAATTTCTGATCCAGGGTCTTGGAATCCCAGAGATTTTGTAGCTCAGAAATCTGTGCTTTCATCTGTGGTTGTTCTTAGCAATTCATATTTTACACAATGGAAATAACCATCACTGCTTCTGATTTCTGTTAACTCCATTCTCTCTCCATCACTTGAAACTTAGCAGTCACATCAATGCAAACAGTTTAAGAGTCTAGTGGATGTTGTTGGGTTTAGCATCATGATGAGATGCTTCAACAGCTAGGGGACACAGGAATGCTCAGATCTTGCATTGGCACAGACACCATAGTGCCGCTTGAAGTCACCGAGCTTGTTAACACAAGAGGCAATGACAAATGGAAAGTTAGAGTACTACTTTGTTAATGGCTGGGCTGTTACTGTTACATACTCTGACGTAGGGTCTCTCATGAGTAAGACCACATCTTTGAAATTGGTTCAAGGACATCGAAATAGAGACAGAACTCCCCCACCCCCTCCACAATATCTACTTATGGCAAGGGCAGTAGCCCTAGATCTGTCTGCCATAGGATAGAAAGAGAAATTATCGAGACATACTAGAAATATGCCAGCTTAAGACATGGAGCAGGAAGCAACAGAAAGATCATTGCTCTGGCTGACATTTGAACACTCTGGAGCACTCCATGACACTCTCTGCCAACACAAGTGTTTCAAAAGAGGATACTGACTAATTCTCTTAATCGTATCTCCTTGAGGCTAGTAGATGCAGGTAATCAGGAGATTAAATCTCTGGGGATTCCAAAAGGAGGTGAGATTCTCCTCCCTTTAAAGTTTCAGTTTTTATGTGGTAAAAACAGTCCCATTATAGATTGTGTTCTTATTCTAATTAGAATTACATTCTAATTCTCTGTTAAGTTTTACTTAAGAAAAAATAAGGTAGAGGATGCATGAGTTGAGACAGAGGTGGTAATTTAGAATAGTGGCTAGGAAACCCCAGAAAGCTTACACTGGTTTAGGAATTGTGAAAGAAGAGTAGGAATAGCCAGTCAGAGGTTAAAATAAAGAGGACTCAAAGAAGAATAAGCCTTATGTTGAGTCAAGAAAATCTTTGTACATAAAACCCAATTTCTCTTTCATGCTTTATGTCCTAATAGTCTCATGCGACAGTGAAATGATTCACAAGATATAGATGGACGCTGATAGAGGAAATGTGAGGGTAAAAGCCAGAATATTAAAGATGCACCAGCTTTGATTTTAGACAGACTTGGTTTTGAATTGTAAAGAGTGGAGTGAGGACCATGCTATGCTCCATTACATGTTGCTTAATTTCTCTGAGCTTCAGTCCTATTATCTGTAAAATGTGAATAATAGACTTACTTGATAGGATTCTTTTGAGGTTTAATTACTTAATATTTGTAAAATAATGAACACAATACCTGACATACATTAAATACTCAATAAAGGATGACTAAAAATTGTCATCCCTTGGAAGAGAAATTATTTTGGATCACAGATTGGTGACAGTAGAAAAGTACACAAAAGAATATGAGACCCCCTACCCAGAAAATCTTTTGTAGACTCTAAGCCCCACCCCGAACATCCCCCCCACCAGTGTTGAAAACTAAGAAATTCATAAAGCTGAGAGGCTTTTGAGCCTGTGTTGGCATAACACTAAATCAGTTCATCCATCAAGTCAATTAATCTTCAAAATTAGGTAAAACCAGCATTTTTATATCAATGACAAAGGGCAAATTTGAGTAATTCATCCAAACATTAATCAATTCAAAGTCAAATTTGATTGACTGCAACTCAGTATTGATACAGTCCAGTATCCATTGACTTGTTTTCTCAAAGACCAAGGCATATTATACTACCCTTACCGTACTTTATAATCACTATCTTGTCAAAACGGCATGATTAGTCCCACTTCTTACCAGGAAGAATGCAGTCCTGTTGTACTTCCGTTTCGTGCATCTTATGATAGATATCAAGTCAATTAAGTGGAAACAAAAGTCAGATAGCCCCTGTCTGTATCATTTATTATTTTTTTCACCCATTAGGTGAAAAGACAGTAGTCTTGTTTGAAAGGTTTTTCAGCGTGAATTATGAACATGGTCCAGGATGGTAAGAACAAAGTACCCCTATAATCCAGCACTTGCTGATTTGTCTTTGAGATCCATCATGTGGTCTGTGTGATTAACTTGCAGCAGGCAGAATTAGTTGTTGAGTCAGCCTATTTTAGCCTGTAATTATATGATGACAAATCAGAGACCTAGAATTATGGCTGTAAGTTGGAAATAAGAGGGTGCATTGAATTGCTGAGATGACAGATGGTCGAACTTTTGACCAGAGAAGTACGGTAGCAGGAGGCAAAAGTTGTCTTTGACAGAAGTAGTTGCTCTTTGCAGTACCCAGTCCTTCCCTGATGTTCATGGACTTCACTTTGTGTTCTCATTCAGATAAATTCTTCCTCTCTGAAAAGGGTAAATTAATCTAATAGGAGGTTAAGGTAGAAGAAAAGCTTTTAGTGTCCACTCCCAACTTTTCTCCCAAACTCTGAGATTGGAGTGTTTATTTCCTTTATGTGTCCCTACGTGATGCTTCTCTACAGCGTTTTATGAGCAAGGGAGAGGCAGAGAATGATCATACTCTGATCCGATCAAATGTAGAAGTAATCAGACCTTATGATCCTAGACATGACATTTTATAAACTGTTTCTTCACAGGTTGATGTGGTTAAAATTGGTCAGCGACAACTCTTGGACACTTACCCTTGGTGATGGAATATATTATTTGGAGGCACACAGACCTTATTTTTAATATGGGCTTGGCCAAGCTGTGTGACTTTGGGCAACTTTCTTAACCTCTCCATGCCTTATCCGTGTATGTGTGTATGTGTGTCTAGGCGCAGCGTTCTACCTCATAATGTCATTAAGAGAACTGCATGGTAAAATGTCTCACAAGATGTGTCACATGCTGTCAAGTTGACAAAGAAGATGATGATGATGCTTATAGCATAACATAGTTCTTCATTACAAGGCTGGTCAAATAATTGAAACTAAAAAAGCATGGACAATTTAGTAAATCATGAAAGTTTTTACTTGACTAAATGGGGCAATTACCTCAATTTTCCCATTTACTTCGTGGTCTGAGACTGGTAAAAGTCAAAGGACCCACTCTTGAACTGCTTATATTTATTATTCTGCTTTAAAACCAAGTAAGTAGGAATGGAAACAGTGAGTTTTAGCCCTTTTAATCATTATTTATAAACATTCTTGTACTTGAAACCTAAATGTGAGGGTCTTGCTCTAGTTTAAGGAACTAACACTTGTTAGTTTGGAAGCCCATAGACTTCAAATGTCATTTCTCTCTTTGAGATTGGAAAAATAATCATATCAAAAACTCCTGAGATTTAGATTGAAGAAAAGATTCTGGGCCAAGTGATTATTGGCTTGTTTCAGTGATTTATACTTTTATTTAGTAAGTAGAGTTTATAACTTCAATCACAAAAAAAAAAAAAAAAATGGCTGGCTGTTCAGAGGAAAGGCTGGGAGCCTGGGTGGGGGCGCAGGAAATTCTGTGGATTCAAGTCTCTGATGCCACAATTTCGGGCCCCAGATCAGCCAGATCAATGATCTGTAGAGCTGTGCTTGACTACTGTGCATAGAAGGAGCAGAAACTCTCAGACCGCCCCAGGTGATCACATCAGAGAAACAGAAAAGCTGATTTGTTCCCTTTCCTTTTGGCCATGAAAATCACTTTTCTCATGTTCACTTAGTTTGAGGGAAGGAACAATTGCATGTTACATATTTTGTATTCAACTTGATTTGAATGTAGTCAGCCTCTTTTTTTTCTAGCTAGAATGACTTTAATGTGTTAACATTTCAAACTGCTGAGTTACATTGATAAGACCTAATTAAAACTCATGTGTTGAATTTTAATTTGATTAACTTGCAAATTTCTCAGTTTGTGATCTACTGTTTATAGATAACCTTTTTTTTTTTTTAATTCCAGTTTCAGAAAAGGTCAATTATGAATTTTTAAAAGCCAGGAGCATTTTAAGAATATTTAGGAAAAGACTTTGGCTCATCGATAGCTACATAAGCAGAAGCAAAAGTAATGACACTTGCACCCAAGTCACACACCATTAAGTGCATTATGCGGGTCGAGCACCCCTAGAGTCAAAATAACATCTTCTTTTGCAAATCTGCTTTGAAGGGGACATTTTTTTCCCCTTCAGAATTGTGCCCTTAGAAAATGTTTGTCAGTTCTGGTAAATTCTCTTGAACTATTGTGACGCAGTAAGTGGAAAAATGGTTACACAGTCAATCAAAAGATATTTATTGAGCTTCTATTCTTTGCAGGATGCTGAAACCTCTACCCTAAGGAAGCTCAGAGAGAAGTCAGAAGTAGAGCATTAATAGGAATTAGAGAGTGGAGCAAGGAAGTTAATACTCAAATCCTAAATTATACAACTGAAACTCATGTGATTTAGTTGAAAGATAAATGTATACCCTTCAATGCACAAATTAACTCTTTTCAGACAATGAAAGTTTCATTGCTTTACATCTGGGGATTGAATGTAGAGTCTGGAGTTCTGCCGGGTAGTTTTACAGATTCTTCAACAGAGAAGTACCTAGTGAATGGCTTAAATGATGATGGTCAGGACTTGTGAGGTCTAAGTAAAACATGATTATCAGCTTTATATGAGGAGGACAAATTAATGTAGGATAGAAGCATCATCAGACAAGGATGCTTCAGGAGAAAAGTGCATATTTAACTTCTGCAAATCCAAATCTATCTCAAATGCATTGGAATAGCTGTCTTGTTATTAGTACAATATTGTATATGTGAGTTTGTAACCAACTCTTTGGTTATATATTAACCACCTTTTCTGGATACAGTTTTTAAAGTACTTTAAAATATCTTTCAGAAATACAGTGTTTTAAATATTTTAACTATAGTATTTGTACCAGTCTGTTTTTTTAAATATGGATTGTAATTTCTGTATATACACATGCACACTCACACACATACACATATGTATACACATACACAGAGACTCACATGCTAGTTATATAAAGTCACACACGTGCATGCATGGAAGTTAGTAAACATGGCTGTGTATTAGTAAAATGTATCTGTGCAGGTAATAGTCTGAGACACCTTCACGCAAATCAAAGACACCCCTTACTCTGGCAGATAAAGCCTCATCTCTAGGTTGCTCAGCCTGGTGAGACAATGCCCCACTGGGATGGGATCATTGTGCAGTGTCTAACCTGCATGGTTGCACATGGTGATCTAGTTGTGCTCAATAATTAAGCATGGTGTTAGTTGACCTGGGTATGAATCCTATTCCTGCAGCTTATTAGTTGTGTAATATTGAGAATTTAATTTCTCTGGGCCTTAGTATCATCATTAATAAAATAATAATACTATTATTAATCTTGTAGAGTGATTAAGTAAATTAAGTTATTTTATAAGCATAAGCCTCTTAGCACACGACCTGGTATACATTTCTGTACTCAAGGAATCCTGTCAATCTTCTATTTACGTATAGTCCCGTAGACCCTGGGCCCATCCCTGTCTTTCATGGCACCTAGATAATAAGCTAGAGAGGTAGCTGGAAAGGAAAACTAATACAGACGTGATGATAACATATTAGCAGTAATCCCATATATGCTTTCATTTTTTTTGACAGAACACATTTATTATTTCATTTGCTGTCCACCATAACACTTTGAGGTAATTGTTTACTATTCTTAGATCTGAAGAATATAAGAATATGATCCAGTAATAAATAGGTCTTAACCTAAGTCAGTGACTGAGCCCAGTTTTCCAGAGCTTATGTCCATTGATGTTTTTATTAGAAATCAACTACCATGGGTAGGGGGATGGGGTAATTGGGTGATGGGCATTAAAGAGTGCACTTGATATAATGAGCACTGGGTGTTATATGCAACTGATGAATCACTAAATTCTACCCCGAAACTAATAACACACTATATGTTAACTAACTTGAATTTAAATAAAATCAAACAAAAAAAAGAGAAAGAAATCAACTACCTTTCCTTCCAACAATTCACTTACATTGGGAGGAGCTTTATAATTAAGGAAGCAGAGTTTTCTTGTATGTGTTATTTTACTTGTCCTTTGCAAATCATGCTCTCATTGGTGAATACACATATCCCAGAACCATAGGGCTACTAGTGCTGTCGTACTTACCCACATGCTCCTTTCTCTGAATCAGGTTGCACATGGTTCTAAGAAGATGCAGTGAGGTGATGCCAAACATCGCGTTCAGGGCTTGCTACATACATGGTGTTTAACAGATATGGTTGATTGTCTTCATTTGTGATACTTATATTCTGCAAAGTCACCATGAACACTTAATTAGCAACTATAGAGTCATTGCTTCTAGAGGAAATAGAGGGTTAGGTTCCTGAGAGCTGCTAGTCTCAACATTTTGTTTCAACCAATCAATAAATAATGTTTAACGAATGTTTCTTCTCAGATACTTTATTTTATAGTTTTGATTCATTATCATGGAACTCATGGCCAAGAGCACTATAGCCCCTGCCTGCATGAAGCTTATCTAACGCACGTATATTTCTCCATAAGGCACATCACAGCCTCTCTATTCTTAGGGGCACTAGGCAGCACTTGAGCACTATGCATGGGGGCCATTTTAAATAGCAAAATTACCAACAAAGAGCACAAAGATGTGGAAAATGTGGCACTAAATAGATGACAGAAAGGACATTTGTTTAGTGCTGAAACAAGAAGGCAGAAAATTTGTTGTTCAACCACATCCGGAAACAGGCCTGTTAGGTGACTCAATTTTTTTGCAACTCTGTGCTTGTCTGTGAATGACCAAAAGTATCACAAGTCTTGATTTTAGGGTTGCCAATAAATTTTAGAGAATAGGCGAATTTGTAAATAAAGAATCCATGAATGACGAGAATCGGCTCTTGCTTTTCTATATTCCCTTACCGAGCAACTATTGAAAATTGACCTTTGCTTCCTAAACCTGTATTTTATCCCATCACAACTTATTCTACATACTTATAGACTCTATGGTTAGCCATGGTTACCTCAGGATTTGCACAGAGGAGGTGGAAGAGGGCTGGGTCTAGGTATGCCATCCCTGAAATGCCTTGGGCTAGGGGATTGTTAGGTATCTAACCATGGATTCCTTCATTAACACTCATGGCAAGTCTCTCCACCCCCCCCCCAACTTGGATGCTCAGATATTGTTTAAAATTCCTGTCCTTCCTAGCGACAGAAAGCCTTTTTTTTCCTTTTTCTTTTTCTTTTTCCTTCTCTGAACAGATTTCAGTGTTGAAAGAGGTGCATTCTTTCATCTGGTAAAAGTTTCCTGAGACCAAATATAAAAATTGTCAAGAATAGATTCTTTTGAACAAACATATGTCATCAAAGAGACACAGAAGTTCTCTTACTGTCAGTGTGCACCTACCTTTTGGATCTCTATATTTTCTGTGTATAGGAATAGGGATGGGATTTGGGGGACCTTACCAGTCTGCGCTTTCGCCTTCCTAGGAATGGAGAAAACATCCTTTCTGGAGTGGTGGGGCAGCCTGTGAACTTGTCAGGGTCTGGCTTTGCCATTAGCTTGAGGCAAAGTCAATCTACTGTCTGTATTTACTTTGTCACCATTAGTCACACTGTTTCTGTAACCCACACAGGCCATCATGGCGCAACTACCGCAGGAGGAGAAGGCAAAAATAGCTGAGCAGGTGGAGATATTCCACCAAGAGAAAAGCAAGCTGGATGCCGAAGTGGCCAAATGGGATGACAGCGGCAATGATATAATTGTGCTGGCCAAGCAGATGTGTATGATCATGATGGAAATGACAGACTTCACAAGGTGAGGCCCAGAGACAGGAAGATCATTTTCTCATTAAGCCCTGAAGTGTAACAGTGTATATTAGCATGTGAAAGCCTGCTGAAAAATTAAAATACTACATCAAAGCAAGCTAGTGGTATTATAAAATTTACATGTGTAAGTCAAAATGATCTGGACCTAATTCTTAGCAGATAGTCAAGGAGGACAGATTCATTTTTGTGATTATTATTGTTTTAATTATCTATCAGTCATAAAGTCAGTCATAAAATCTAACCCCTTGGGGTTGAGTGACTCATTTTTGTTCTGTGTTGTTTTGCAGTGTATTTAAATACTGTTTTGAAGATGAGGTGAATGATTTGTTCATATCCCTTTGGAAAAAAAGTATATCGATGCATATGTGTGTGCATCTGTACATGTAATAGTCTGAATGCTAGGTCATGACCTAGCATTAATTTCAACTCATGTTCTACCTTTGCATATAAAGAATCAGGTTCAACAATCTGATTCCATAATTTTGACAGGGAAATTAAAAATTGTATAACTTTTATTCCCTTTTGCTCTCAGCACTGCTTTTAATAAATCAAGAGACCCTTCAGAATTTTGTCAGGAGCCTTTTCTTCTCCAGGGGTCATTGCTGTTTCTGCCACTGCAATTTTAATCTCCTCTTTAAAGGGAGGTGACATTTCTGCCCTTCCTACTACACAAAGGGCAAATCAAGGGAGAGCAAAGCTCAATGAAAAAAAAAATGCCTGGATTTTGAAGCTGAATACCAGGTGATTTTGGACCAGCCTCTTACTGTGTTTGTTTATTTTGCAAAATGGGGAAATAATGCTTTTCTCATCAACTTCACAGGAGAGTTTTAAAATCCAAAGAGGTAATGTGGTTATAAATTATGTTGCTATACAAATGTAAGCTATCACTTTATTGTAATTTACCCCCCCGGGAAACACAAATACACATGAGCAGAAGTGTTTTAATGATTAAACATGATAGTGGTTAATAAAACTATGTAAGATATATGGCAATGTCAAAGTATCACCTTATGGGTGACAATATTTTTAATGATTATTGAATGCTTCTAATAAGAGAAGGCTGCAATTGATTTTAGGCTATAATAAAATATAGAATATCTCTGCTTCATCCCCCTTACCCTTTGCCTCTGGCCAATATATACTAATGACATTGCTGGGCCCTTTCTCTAAATATTTTTAAATTGTTTTTGACTTCGGTGGAATTACTTTAGTGTTATGAGGGTGACCTTTGAGACTTTTAAATGTCATTGTATTCATTAGAAGTTCAAATTTGTACATTTGGTTAGTCTTTGTTGGCTTCACAGATTTATTTCACACACGAAAAATAATAATAGGAAAAAACAGTCTGAGCCATTATTTCGGTCTGAATTTGCTATGAATCAGACTATCCTGGCAGCCTCAGTCATTGCTTTTCTAGGCCTGTGATGACTTAATTTGCTTGTTTTCAAGATTGTATTAGTATTTTATCTGATGGATATTATGGAATCCATTAATAACATCACTTGAACAAATAATCTCATTAGTTTAAAGTGAATAATGAATCTAGTCAAGTTGCTAGTTTAGATCAGAAGAACGTTTTATAATGCTCCAGATTATAAACTGTGGTCAAGGAAGAGAGAGAGATTTGAGAGGGGCTTGTTAGATGACGTTAAATAAGATGGACTTTCTATTAGTCAAAGTACAGTTTTAAAAGTGAAAAGAAGGCCACTTCAATTTCCTAGGGATTTCATATAATCACTTTATGCTGATTTGAGTAATGAAATGTCTAAAATGCTACTGGTTATCATTTTTCCCACCGCCTGATGAGTAGTTTCGTGCCTCTTTGTGAGGGCAGAGGAAGGAGCACAAAAATTAACAATGAGAGAAACAGAAGAGGGCGTGCATTGGCAATAGAACACAGGAGGCTGTGCTTTTGCTGCTGCCTCCATCTGCAGAGTCTCTTCCTTGGCCGCGAGGAAGCTGACTTGAGCCTTTTTTTTGGTGGACTGTCACCTGAGTTCTCTACACTTAACCATACACAGTATTATTATTATTGTCCTTGCATTTTCTGCTTCAAGGAGGAATAATTTCAGCTGTATACCTCTAAGGAGCCCAATGTACTGTATTCTGTATTTAAAGGAAAGGCGATAGCTGGTTAGGAATCAAAACTTGACTCTTCTCAAATCATATGTTTAAATGGCATCTGGGGGCAAAAAAATACCCTTGCATTTATTATCTTGTTGTTTCATTCTTATCAGTCGCTAACTCATTAATTTGATTCAGTAATTTCAGTGATCTACACTCCATTATTATTAAAATTGGAGAGGTTCTGCCTCATTATTTGTGAAATAACTTCTTCATGGAGGATAAAACTAATTATGCCTCATGTCTCTTTCCTGTTGAGTTCTTGACTTCTATCTCATGGGCAATGGCAGAAGCACTGTCCTGCAGAAGGTGAATCCATATTTCTGATGTCATTCTCAGTAAGAAATAGCATATACCAGTCTTCTGTCCCAATAACATAAGGTGTGCAGATGGCAGAAGCTCAGAAAAGAAACCCAAGTTTAATTGTATAGCAAGGAACAAAGCTGCCTTTTGAGACCAACTGTAACTTCTGATCTGTAAGGAAAAGGATTTAGGCTAAGAAAAGTGACTTTCAGGGCACAGTCAACTGTAAAATGCTAAGCACTAGGTTCAAAAAACATATAATCACCACATTCTTCCCAAACTTCATTTCTGCTTTAGAATAGACACTCAGTACCTCAGCCTAGGTGTCATTTGACCAGCCTTTCAGTTCCAGTTCTTGACACTTTTCTTTTCATTCCAAGTCACATCTGGCCATTAAAGGGCAACCATCTGCCTCCCTTTACACCAACACCCTCAATTAGTTCTGTTCATAGAAAAAAATAAAAGTACTGAGTTTGCTATATAGTGCCTACCTTTTTAAAAAATTTTTATTGAAATATAGTTGACACATGATACTATATTAGTTTCAAGTGTACAACGTGATGCTTTGACAATTTCATATGTTATGCTCACCACAAGTGTAGCTACCAGTACAACTGACTGTATTCCCTATACTGTGCCTTTCACCTCCATGGTTTATTTATTCCATAACTGGAAGCCTGTATTTCCCTCTTCTCTTCATCCATTTTACCAGTACCCCCATCCCCTCTCCTCTCTGGCAACCATCACTTTATTCTCTGTATTTATGGATCTCTCTCTGATGTGTGTGTGTGTGTGTGTGTGTGTGTGTGTGTGTGTGTGTGTGAGAGAGAGAGAGAGAGAGAGAGAGAGACCTCATTATTCATTCATCTATTGATGGACACTTGGGTTGCTTCCATATCTTGGCTATTGTAAATAATGTTGCAATAAACATATGGGTGCATATATCTTTTTGAATTGGTGTTTTCATTTCCTTTGAGTAAATACCCAGTAGGAAAATTACAGGACTATAGGGTATTTCTATTTTTAATTTTTTTTAGAAACCTCCATACTGTTTTCTGTAGTGGCTGCACCAATTTACATTCCCACCGACAGTGCACATCCAAACCAACACTAGTTATTTCTAGTCTTTTTGATTCAAGCCATTCTAATAAGTTATAAGGTTATATCTCATTGTGGTTTTGGTTTCCATTATTCTGATGATTAGCAATATGGAGCATCTATTCATGTGTCTCTTGGCTATTTGTATGTCTTTTAAAAATGACTATTCAGGTCTTCTGCCCATTTTTGAATTGGATTGTTTGTTTTAGTGTTGAATTGTATAAGTTCTTTATATATTTTGGATATTAACTCCTTTTTGGATATATCATCTGCAAATACCTACTCCTATTCAGTAAGCTGTCTTTTTGTTTTGTTAATGGTTTCCTTCACTGTGCAAAGGATTTTTTTTTTTTTTAGTGTAGTCTCAATAGTTTATGTTTGCATTTATTTCCCTTGCCTGAGGAGACATATCTAGAAAAATGTTGCAAAGGCCAGTATCAGAGAAATTACTATGTTTTCTTCTTGGAGTTTGTGGATTCAGGTCTCGCATTTATGTCTTTAATCCATTTTGAGTTTATTTTTGTGTATGGTATTAGAAAGTGATCCAGTTTCACTGCTTTTGCAGATAGCTATCTTCATCTGGCTTTGGTATCAAGGTAATGCTGGCCTTGCAGAATGTATTTGGAAGGTTTCCTTTCTCTTCCATTTTTGGAATAGTTTGCAGAGAATAAGTATTGATTCTTCTTTAAATGTTTGACAGAATTCACCTGTGAATCTGGTCCTGGACTTTTGTTTGTTGTGAGTTTTTTTAATACAAATCCAGTTGCATGACCATTCAGATTTTCTATGTCTTCCTGATTCAATTTTGGAAGAGTGTATGTTTTCTAGGTATTTATCTCTTTCTTGTGTTATCCAATTTGTTGACGTATAATTTTTTTTGTAGTACGCTCTTAGAATCATTTGTATTTCTGTGGTGTCAGTTGTTACTTCTCCTTCTTCATTTCTGATTTTATTCATTTGGGTCCTCTCTCTTTTTCCCTCCAGTCTGGCCGAAGGCTTACTGATTTTGTTTATCTTTTAAAGAAGCAGGTCTTGGTTTCATTAATGTTTTTCTATTATTTTTAGTTTCTTTTTCATTTATTTCTTCTCTGATCTTTATTACTACCTTTCTACTAACTGTGAACTTTGTTTGTTCTTTTGTCTAGTTCCTTTAGGTTAGATTGTTTGAGGTTTTTCTCATTTCTTGAGGTAGGCCTGTAGTGCTAAAAACTTACCTTTTAAAATTGCTTTAGCTGCATTAGAAACATTTTAAACTGTTGTGTTTTCATTTATTGGAACATGTAGACCATTTACATTTAAAGTAATTATTGATTGGTATGTACTTATTGCTATTTTGTTCATTGTTTTCTGGTTGTTTTTATAGTTCTCTGTTCCTTTTTTCTTGTTCTCTTTCTTGTGATTGGTGACTTTCTGTAGTGTTATGATTGGCTTTCTTTCTCTTTATTTTTTGTGTATCTAGTCTAG